TCCCCAAGTTCGACGGGAAATCCGATCCGCTGGCCTTCCTTAACCGATGTGAGTCGTATTTTCATCAACAGCGTATTGCAGCCGAGGAGCAAGTTTGGATGGCGTCATACAACCTTGAAGACGGCGCCCAGATGTGGTTCCTCCAAGTGCAGCAGGACGAGGGTACGCCGTCTTGGCGCCTAAAAGTGCATCTAGCCCTTTAGTGAGTTTTGGATGCTTGAATGACAACGTGATTAAAGGTCTAACCCGTTTGCTAAGTGTGGACAGGTTATAGGTTATCTCATGAGTACTTAATGAAAGCCAAAATAATGTGTTATTGTATAAACAATCTAGTTCAAGCACAAGACAACAATGCAAATGTTATTCATGCAAAGACTCATTTATTGTGGGATTTCCATTTGCTATGTGAAAGCAAGCTCGTGAGAATTAATTAATGAGACATGAGAAATTGCATATGGAATGGTCTCATACTTGAAGCTTGCTAAATTGAAATGAAAAAGATAACAATACAAATGAATGGATGATTCAACACAAGAAGTGACTTGATGGCTTGAGATGGTGAAGATAGCAAGGAAAGGCTTCGAGGTACTAAGCAAGGGCGAAGGGCAAGCGACGACTTGGCGGCCGAAGAACCTAGCTAGGGTGAAGAAGAAAGTACTTGCATTTAGTTGAGGTACTAATCAAGCTATGATGGCCATGTTCATGTGGAGGATCAAATCACTATTGGATTGTTTGATGGAAGTGACTTGATACATTTGGGATTATTCAAATTTGATGAATGGAATCAAGTCACGTGCTCAAGATGGCTATGCTCAAGTGAAAAGATCAATATCAATATGTTAGCACCCTTACTTGATGAAGATTGAAAGAGACGGCATCAATTCAAAAGAGATCAACTCAAGTGGTATAAATCCATTTTTCCTTTGATCTTGAGTTTAATAGGTATGCCGTACTATTAAGAGGGATGCATCATGTTGATAGATAATGTTTCATGAGTGCTCAAGCCAACCCATGTGAGATTTGAGTGTTTGAGAGACAAAAAGGCTAATTGACTTGTTGCTAGTCTGGCCTTACTGGACGTGTCCGGTATGCATACCGGACGTGTTCGGTATTTGCCCAGTAACTGTAAAAATGTTGTTCTCGGGTTGGTTCGTCGGGAGTTCCGACGTAGGTCGGGAGTTCCGACGGTCGGGAGTTCCGGCAAGGGTCGGGAGTTCTGACGTCTCGCACTTTAACTGACTTGGAGGGATCACTGTCCTGGTCATATCGGACGTGTCCGGTATTCATACCGCATGACCAGAGGCCAACGGCTAGTTTTCCAAAGCCTTAAGGGTCGGGAGTTCCGATGGTCGGAAGTTCCGGCATGTGTCGGGAGTTCCGACACCTCATATTCTTTAACTCAGTTACATGGTTTTCAAATTTGCTGAGGGTCGGGAGTTCCGACGTAAGTCGGGAGTTCCGGCGGTCGGGAGTTCCAGCATTCATCGGGAGTTCCAACGCCTCACAACTTCACTGTAACTTAGTTACCGTTGGGGCAGTGTAAGTCATACCGGACGTGTCCGGGATGCATACCGGACGTATCCGGTATTGCAACGGCTATAAAACGGCTAGTTTTTCAAGGGGGCTATAAATACCCCCAAGCCTCCACCTTTGGAGGCTGCTGATTCTGCTGAGATAGACACACGTTTTTTAGCCTTGCCAACTCTCATGAACCCTCTCTTAGTGAGTGTGTGATCCAAATTACAAAATCAATTTGTGGGTTAAGAGAGAATTTGAAAAAGAGAGCAAGCCACCACTTGAGCACTTGTGCATATTGTCGATCTTGTGATTTGCATTTGTTACTCTTGGACTCTTCGGTCCTAGATGGTTAGGCGTCGCCGGAGAGCACCCGAGAGATTGTGGTGTGCCTCGAAAAGTTTGTAACGGTCGATTCCGCCGCCTCAGAATCAACTAGTGGAAGGAGGAAAATGAGTTGGAAAAGACTCCGGCTAGAGTGACCTTCGTGGTACCCTCTAGGGCTGACCTTCGCTGGGTCGCCCGCAGCCCCCTCAACGGAGAGTAGGACTCGAACGAGTCCGAACATCGGTAAAACAAATATCGTGTCTTAATTCGCATTTCATTTGATATCTGTGTTGCTCCAGCTCTTGTGCAGGTTCTCTGTGTATATTGTCATCTCTAGTAAGTGCCTGCAGTTTGGTTCGAAGATAGAAATCGAAAGGAGCAAGTTCGGGGCTGATCTGCAGAAACCGTGTATACCGGACACGTCCGGTATTCATACCGGACACGTCCGGTATTAGAGCTCTATGCTAAAAATATTTATTTTCAGTTCTAACTTTGTGTTGCAGGGTTGTAGCTTCTAGATACACTCTTTGTACCTTGTATACTCTGTGACTAACTTGTGAGGGGTGGTACTACTCTTTATTTGGAGTTTCTATTTTGAAAACTCTCTTTACTAATTGTTTCCGTATTTAAAGGTGTTAATTTTCAGAAACGCCTATTCACCCCCCCCTTTAGGCGGCATCCTAGGTCCTTTCAGCGCCGCTTCTCCGAGCTCCTCAACTCCGCTTTGGGCCGCCGATCCGCTCCAACCCCCTTGGTGAGCTGATGGCATGCAAGCGGACGAGCTTGGTAGCGGAGTACCAGAACCGCTTGGAGGCGCTGCTTCCTCGCGTCGGCACGCTCACGGAGGCACAACGCGTACAAGCGTTCATGGCAGGACTGCAGCCGCCGCTCAGCCTCGACGTGGAAGTCCACAACCCGCAGTCCCTCGTCATCACCATGAGCCTTGCGCGCAAGCTGGAGCTGCGCGAGCAGTACTACCCCGCCGCTGTTCCAGCTCCGCCTGCGCCACAGCAGGCCACGCACGGCCTCTTGACGGGGCCACCACCACAGCTGGCCCTACCAGCCCCCCACCCCGTGCAGCCGCCCCTTCTCTCACCGTCGAGGGCCGCCAGGTGAAGCGGCTGTCCCAATCAGAGATGGAGGAGCGGCGTCGCTTGGGCCTATATTTCAACTGCAACGAGAAGTTTGGCAGGGGTCACAACCATGTCTGCCAGCACATCTTCCTCCTCGATCTGGCCGAGGCCGATGGCGACGACGATCCTGAGCAGACCGACGCTGCGGTTGCCAGCCCGCTCATCTCACTACTCGCCATGGCAGGCGTCCGCTCCAGCGAGACCATGCAGGTCCGCATCCAGCTGGGCAGGGCATCCTTACTAGCCCTGCTGGACTTGGGCTCCACCCACAATTTCGTCTCTGAGGAAGCAGCGGCACACACCTCCCTCGAGCTCCGACCCCGCAGCAACATGAAGGTCACGGTGGCGAATGGGGAACGGGTGCCGTGCCCCGGCATCTACCGTGTCGTTTCCTTCTCCCTCGCCGGCAAACCATTCTCCACTGACTTCTTTGCACTACCTCTAGCCGGTTACGACGTCGTCCTCGGCACCGAGTGGCTGGCCTCCCTTGGCCCGATCCTCTGGGATTTCGGCGCACTCACCATGTCCTTCTAGCACCGAGATCATAGGGTGTGACAGACAGGCATCGCTGGGGGCTTCGGCCCTTCTCTACGGACGTATAGCGGCTGATCTCCTGCCAGCCCTGCTGGACGATTGCCCCCATTAGTGGCTGCGCTGGCTGCCATGGGCGAAATACATCTACAACACCGCCTTTCAGTCCACGCTCAAGACCACGCCATTCCAGCTCGTCTACGGCCGTGAGCCACCCTCCATCCGCTCCTATGAGCCTGGCGAAACCAGGGTGGCTGCGGTGGCCAAGACCATGGTGGAACGCGATGAGATGCTGGCTGATGCCCGGGCCCGGCTGGAGCAAGCTCAGGACGTCTACAAGCGGTTCTACAACAAGCATCACCGCGCCATTCACTACAGCGTGGGTGATTGGGTCTGGCTTCGTCTCCGCCATCGCGCCCCGGCCTTCCTCCACGGCATCACCAAAGGGAAGCTGCGGCCCCGGTACTATGGGCCGTATCGCATCTCTGCCATCATCAACGACGTCGCCTACCGCCTCGAGTTCCCTCCCCGCGCCCGGCTGCACGATGTCTTCCACGTCGGGCTCCTGAAGAAGTTTGTGGGTACTCCCCCGGCCACCCCCCTGGCTCTGCCTCCTATGCATCATGGCGCCTCACAGCCGGTTCCAGAACACGCCTCACGATCCAGGCTGGCCCGAGGCGTCCGCCACGTCCTCATCCATTGGCAAGGCGAGCCCTCGGCCTTCGCTACCTGGGAGGACATTGACAGCTTCACCGAGCGTTACCCAAGCTTCTAGCTCGAGGACGAGCTGCTCGTCAAGGGGGGGAGAGATGTCATGTGGGGCCGACAGTACAGCCGCCGGCCTCGAACACGAGGTGCAGCCAGGGCAGTCCCCAAGGGGACGCATGGCCTGGAAGAACCCAAGGAGGTTTAGGCGGCTAGAGGGGCTGCAGTCTCTAAGGCAATTAAGTAGAAGTTGAAGAGATTAAGGAATTAATTAGCCAACTAGCAGTTAATGGCTGGCGCAAGTACCAATGGAGCAGAACTCCTATATGTACCCCTGTACTCGTTGAAGGAAGTAAAAAAGAAGTTATTCCCTAATCTTCCCCTTTCTCTGCTATTCTTAATCTCACCTCCTGCTGAGGTAGTCAGGCAAAAACCCTGGCACCTCCATTGCCTGGTTCGAGTTATGAGCTGAGAAGTCAGAGGCCTCCAACTCTAGGCACCCAGGTCCTTGACATACCGTCTCTCTGTAGGTGTCTACACAGAGCTGCTTAGCAGGCATGCCATCAGCATGGTTCTAGTATATAGAAAACTCCGTGCAAACTAGTGAAAAAACCTTGTTTTGCACACTTAAGATACAGTTTCTGTTATACTGTTATGACCCATCACTCATGATGTGCATTCTGCTGAATGTGCGTGTTACTGTTCTATACTTTGTTTTAGGCATTTATGAGCTTCAAAGCCAATTTTGTTAGTCAACTTGGTAGAATATAAGGTTTCTTTCTTGTGCAGGTGAAAAGAACTGTCCAAGCAGATGGGATTAGAGCTCTCAAAAATGCAGAAAAAGAAGCATATGCCCCTCCAGCAGGCTCAGGATTCCTCTCTGGTTTCATGTTTGGCTCAGGACGGTCATTGATAGACAAGATCTCATCAATGGATGACTCTCTGTTTGGCCCTACCTCATATCTATCAGAACAGGCAAGAGTAGTTGATGATTATAGCATTTCCCAGGTTATTACGAGAGAACTTAGTGATGGAGATGTTTCACGGTTGCTAATTGTTGTGACGGGTGCAAGCCATGTTATGTACGGGCCACGAGGAAGTGGTGTTCCTGGGAGAATATCTAAAAAGGTGCCAAAGAAAGACCAAGTTGTGGTACTACTTGATCCTGAAAGACAGGTTATAAGGACGGAAGGTGAAGTCCCTATTGCTGATTTTTTATGGTATTCAGCGGCTAAACCTTGCACTATAAATTGTTTTGACCGTGCTGAAATTGCTCGAGTGATGAATGCTGCTGGTAGGAGGCCTGAAGCTTTACTTCAGGTCTGCTGCTTGATCTTTCTTCTGGCCCATTGCACACTAAGTCTCTGTTTCCGTGAAGCTTTAAAATTTCTTCTTGTCATAGATGCTAGCCTTTTATTTTGAGAACATAACAAGGGTCAAGGAATACTGACCATGATTCAGGAAGAAAATCAATATTGCATGCAATATTTTGTGTACTTTCCTATTAGGTTTTTGAAGGGCGGGCCTGGTGCAAGCGGTAGAGTCTTACTGCCTGTGACCAGAAGGTCCCGGGTTTGAGTCGCGGTCTCCTCGCATTGCAAAGGCGAGGGTAAGGCCTGCCACTGACACCCTTCCCCAGGCCCCGCATAGAGCGGGAGCTCTCTGCACTGGGTACGCCCTTTTTTTCCTATTAGGTTTTTCATTGGTCACTTGTATCCAGGATTAGGTCATCAATCTGTGCTGGGAACCAGTAGAAGGCAGGCCCTGAATATGCTTTGAGACTGTCTAAGAAAAAGTGGCTAATAAAATGTAGCTTATTATTAATACAGTAAAATCTTTCTCCTTACAATATAAATGCTTTGAATCATTGCAATAAGATTTTTCTTCTGTTCGTAAATTTTTTCTATACTTGGTAGCAGCATATATTATTGAGTTTGACTGATTGTACTCTTGCACTGAACATTGCAGGATCTTCAGAAAGGACTAGATCTTGGTGTAATTTCTCCTGAAATATTGCAGAACTTTTTTGACCTCGAGAAATACCCTGTTATGACAGAACTCATTCATCGATTTCAAGTAAGATTATTCCACCATTCTCACTTTACTCCTCAGTCATCTCTCCTATCAATTTGATCAGTTGAGGTTTCTGAACACTCCTTGACGCATACACTTCTCTTGATTATAAACCAAATAATTATTGGAAGCTAGTGATGTCTAAAAATGGCTTAGACTGAATTTTGTTTTTAAAATCAACTTCTACAGGGTTTCAGAGAAAGATTGTTGGTAGACCCTAAATTCCTTCAAAGATTAGCCATTGAAGAGGCCATATCAATATCAACCACTCTACTAGCACAATATGAAAGGCGGAAAGGAAGGTTCTTTAACGAAATTGACTTTGTCCTCACAGATACTATTAGAGGATCTGTTGTTGATTTCTTTACAGTGTGGCTTCCTGCTCCTACTATTTCAGTCCTTCAGTATGCTGATGATGGTTCTTGTCAGAGTTTGGAGTTTGTCAAAGGCCTTTTAGGATCATTGCTAGATAATGCATTCCAAAAGAACATCTTGGGCCAGGATTGGAGTATCAAGCAAAGAATTGCAGCAGTGTTGGTTGGTGGTTTGAAACTTGCCAGTGTTGGTTTCATTTCTAGTGTTGGGGTCGGGGTTTCCTCAGATCTCGTCTATGCTGCCCGAGGAATAGTGAAACCTTCAGAAAATGTGGAAACAGGAAGGAAGAGAGCTCCTATATGGAAGTCAGCAGCTGTTTATAGTTGCTTTCTTGGAACATCAGCAAATTTGCGGTATCAGGTAGTTCACGGAAATAACCAACTTTTGATTTGAAGGCCTAGGTTCCATTTTTGGTTTATATTATATTTTTTCTAATCTCTTTCTACCTGAATGTTATTGACATTGTACTGATTTTTCCTAACGATTAGCAATGATTTTAGGACTTATTACAAGTTTTTTTTTTCTCGAAAACGCAAGAGAGCTACACTTCATTATATTAAGAAGAAAGAAAGGGGCTAGAGCCCTACAACACACGCCACACACAACCCCACACAATTCAGAGATTACATTCGCGCCCGAAAATAGAAATGGAAGCGACCAAAAAGACTAGCACTAAGCTAACCACCGAGAGGGGCTGTCAAAGAGGACAGATCCTTAGCTCCTGCTAGACTCCACAACCGGCGCTCTTCTCCAGCAAGGGTAAGTGCACCACCAAGGCTGGGGACTACCATAAAAAACGCAACGGTTCTGATGGTTCCAAAGAGTCCATGCCCCAAGCACAATGAGAGAGTTGAGACCTTTTTGCATCAATCCGCTCGTTGCTCCAATAGCTTGTTCCCACCAGCTGTCAAAAGAAGTGTCTGAAGGTTGTGGTGACGAGGAATTGAGACCAACCTGCCTTAAAAAGTGATACCAGAATTGCCTAGCAAAGACACAGGAGACAAGAAGGTGGTTAATAGTCTCGTCTTCCTGGTCACAGATGATGGATAAGTCTCTGTGTTGGCTGGTCTTTGTGGGGCTGCAGCATATGGTCCTTGTGGCTGCATGGTGGTCTTGCTGTCCATCAAGGACAGCATCCTTGACTGGCTAGGACATCATCTTAGCATCTAGGACAGCATCCTTGACTGGCTAGGACAACATCTTAGCATCAAGGACAGCATCTGTTTTAGGACAACATCTTAACATCTAGCATCTTGGCATATGCTTGGCGTCTTGGCATATGCTTGGCTGGCTAGCAGCCTATAAATATGTATCCCCGACCCTTCAGGTTGGCATGGCATTTGTGTGAGAAATAAACCAAAAAATTGCCCTAACTCCTAGTGTCATCCTCTCTCAATGAGAGTAAGAATTCTGCTACTACCAAGAGTAAGAATTCTGCTACTAATAACTGGTATCAGAGTCGTACTATCCTGTAGCCTGAGCATCTCCTGCTCATCTCATTTCCCAGCCTCGCAACAGCCCTAGCTGGGAGCAGCAGCAGCTCTGACCACTCCTGCTCACTCCTCTCCCTCTGCGCAGCTCGTCTGAAGCAGCCCTCTCCCCATGCAGCAGCACCCCGGTAGCGTGTCATGTCCACAGGACAGTCTCAGCGCTCGGTCGCCTCGAGCACACGGCGTTGGTAGGAGGCCGAACTTGCCGCGGCAGAGAAATGCGAGCGAGTGATGGTAGAGACCGCTGCGGCGGCGGCAAGGGCATTGAGGCTGGCAGCGGCGGAGCTGGCAGCAGCTAGAGCGAAGGTGGAGGCGGCGGCGGCGGCGGCGGATGCAACGCGTGCGGCGGCAGCGGAGGTCGAGGTTCTACGCGGCAGCATCAGCAGCTCCATTTCTGCTGACGATAGCGCCGACGCGGACCTTGAGCTGCTGGGGAGGGAGGCAGCGTGAGCGCGGGCGGCGCAGTGGATAGTCGCGCACGTCCACGAGCGCGGCGGCAGCCCAGACAAGCGCCGACGCGTCGGCGGCGCTCCTGGAGGAGGCGCGCACGGCGGTGGCGCTCCTGGAGGAGGCGCGCACGGCAACGGTGGCGGACGGGTCGATGGAGAGCGTGGCCTTCATAGGCAGCGTGGCTCTCTCTCCCCGGATCGGTACCATGGTTACCACGGATTCCAGGCTGTTGTTAGGGACGTCGGCCCCGGCGGTGGGTGGTCTACACTCACTAAGACCAACTACGTCGAGTGGACTGCGGTGATGAGGGTAAAGCTCTAGGTGCGGCACATGTGGGAGGCAGTCCGGTACGACGACGTTGACTACGACCAGGATCGACGGGCGCTGGATGCCCTCATCGCTGCAGTCCCGTCCGAGATGCAATTCTCGCTTACCAACAAGCGGACTGCCAAGGAGGCTTGGGACACCATCGCTGCGGCACGCATCGGCAGCGACCGCGCCCGCAAGTCCACACTGCAGGCAGTGGCGGATGCACGATGCGGGATAAGGGGGGGCTAAAACAATGGAGATGTTGATTTGCATGAAGATTTAATGGCGAAATCAAGCTTTTGCTACAGTGATTAGGCTTGAAATCAAGACATTAGGGGGGGCTGGAGCCCCCCCAGCCCCCCTTTGGATCCGCCACTGACTGCAGGCACTTCGCAAGGAGTGGGAGAACCTGGCCTTCAAGCCAGGTGAGAATGTTGATGACTTTGCTCTCCGTCTCAACACTCTGTTGCAGAAGATGGTGCAGTTCGGAGATGACACCTACGACGAGGAGAGAGCTGTCGAAAAGCTCTTCCGCTGCGTCCCCGAGAAGTACAAGCAGATGGCTCGCTCGATCGAATCTCTACTGGATCTCTCCACGATGTCGATTGAGGAGACGATAGGTCACCTCAAGGTCATCAACAGCGATGAGCCACAGTCTATCTCGGGGCCCATCACCACTGGCGGGAAGCTCCTTCTCACTCGGGAGCAATGGGTTGCCTGCCAAGGTAACCGAAAGAAGGGGGAGCCTTCTTCCGCGACAGGCGGCCGCAAGCGTGGCAAGCCGTGCAAGGCGCGCAGAGATGCCCAGGCCGGGGCACGAGGATGTGCCAAGGGTGATGTCCGCGGAGGCGCCCAGGGCGGCGCCGCTGGCAAGCACAAGCCGACACGAGACGACACCTGCCACAACTGTGGCCAGCTTGACCATTGGGCCAAGGACTGTCAACAGCCACGACGCGGCCAGGCCCACGTCGCACAGGCGGAGGAGGAGTCGGCTCTGTTCATGGCACATGCAAGCATCGAGCTACCTCCAGCGGCACCGGCCGCAGCGGCTCTCCTCCACCTTGACGAGCCAAAAGCACACGCCCTCCTCAGCGACGGCTCCGGCAATGACAAGACTGACGGGTGGTGCCTCGACACCGGCGCCACCCATCACATGATTGGTCGACGGGAGTTCTTCACCGAGCTTGACCCTAGCGTCCGAGGCTTTGTCAAGTTTGGGGATGCCTCCGGCGTGGAGATCAAGGGCATCGGCTCCGTCATCTTCACCGCCGTGTCTGGTGAGCACAGGCTGTTCACCGGAGTCTACTACATCCCCGCGTTGAGGAACTCTATCATCAGCTTGGGACAGCTGGATGAGAACGGTTCGTGCGTGGTGGTTGAGGATGGAGTCATGAGGATTTGGGATCGCTGTCGTCGCCTTCTTGCCAAGCTAACCAGAAGCGCAAATCGACTCTATGTCCTTAACGTGCGGTGGCACAACCCTCTCGTCTCGTTGCTCGTCGGGACGACGAAGCGAAGCGCGATGGCACGAGCGCTTCGGGCACCTTCACCGAGGCCCCGGGCTCTCGCTGCGCGGAGATGGTGTGAACTGCCGTGCCTCGACCATGTGGGAGCAGCTCACGACGTCTGCGTGTTGACGAAGCGAGGCGACTCCCTTTCCCCCCAGCGAGCGAGCCGAGCCAAGGAGAGGCTCGAGCTTGTGCACGGGGACTTGTGTGGCTGGTGACACCGGCCACACCGGGAGGACGACGCTACTTCCTGCGCCGCTCGTCGGCGACCTCTCCCGCTACATGTGGGTGATGGTCCTCGGCAGCAAGGGAGATCTTTGTGGGGCGCCATCAGGTAGCGTGAGGGGCTGCTGCGGCGGAGTCGCGGCGCAAAGCTGTCGCGTCTTCGCGACCGACAATGGCGGCAAATTCACGGCGGCTGAATTCGCGTCATACTGCGCTAATAAGGGCATTCAGCGCCACTACTCCGCGCCGTCTGACCATTGGCAGAGCGGCGTCGTCGAGCGGCAGCGCAACCGAGATGGTTGTGGGGATGGCTCGGGCCCTTCTCAAGCAGAGGGGGATGCCGGCTGTCTTCTGGGGAGAGGCGGTGGTGTCGGCCGTCTACATCCTTAACTGCTCGCCTACCATGGCGCTCGACGGCAGGACGCCGTACGAGGCTTGACATGGGCGCAAGCCGGCGGTGTCCCACTTGCGGGTCTTCGGCTACCTCGCGTTCGCTAAGGAGCTTGGCCACATCAGCAAGCTCGATGACAGGAGCACTCCGGGAGTGTTCATCGGCTACGCGGAGGGCTCGAAGGCCTACCACATCCTCGACCCAAAGACACATCGTGTGTGCACGGCACGCGACGTTGTGTTCAACGAAGGGCGAGGATGGGCATGGGACAAGGCGGTGGACGACGGCTCGGCTCCGACGTACGACGACTTCACTGTCGAGTACGTCCACTTCGAGGGAGCTAGGGGAGTAGGCAGCTCTTCTTCGATGAGCGTGTCTACCCCAATCCCTGAGCCTCCACCGACCCGGCGCTGCTACTCCAGCAAAGACCACGCTCTCCGGCCGGGACCTCGGGCGCAATGAGTTCTTCGCGCCGGCTCCACCACGGTAAGCACCAAAGATCGACAGCACCTCTCTCGACACGTCTACTCCAATACCGGCCGTGTCGAGCACGGCTGGTTGAGCTCGCTTCTCGCTCTCTCTCACGGCGACGAGGCGCGATCGGCAGCATACCACGACGGCGAGCCGTCGTGGTACCGTACGATGGAGAACCTTCTCGGCGACCAACCGGTGCCGGGACTTGTGACTCATGACCTGGAGGCGCAGTTGCACCTTGCGTGTGATGACGGCGAGCCTCGATCGTTTGCTGAGGCCGAGAGACACGCAGCGCATGCATGGCGCCGCGATGCGGTTGGAAATGGATGTGGTTGAGAAGAACCGCGCACTTGGGAGCTTGTCGACCTTCCTCGTGGTCACCGCGCGATCATCCTTAAGTGGGTGTACTGTGAAGAGGGATGAAGCCGGGCGCCATCGTCAAGCACAAAGGCTCGCTTGGTGGCACGAGGTTTCGCGGCAGCAGGAGGGGGGTCGACTTCGACGACGGCGCTTTGCTCCGTGGGCACGGATGGAGTCCGTGCGACTCCTCCTTGCGCTTAGCTGCCCGGAAAAGTGGCGTGTTCATCACATGGACATCAAGTCGGCGTTCCTTAACGACGACTTGAAGGAAGAGGTCTACGTGCACCAACCGCCGGGATTTGCGATCCCTGGCAAGGAGGGCAAGGTGCTCCGCCTGCGCAAGGCCCTCTATGGCTTGCGGCTGGCACCGAGGGCATGAAATACCAAGTTGGATTCCACGCTAAAGGGGATGGGCTTCGAGCAAAGCCCGCACGAGGCGGTCCAGATGAGTGACCTGGGGCCTCTCTCCTTCTACCTGGGAATCGAGGTGCACCAGGATGACTCCGGGATCATGCTTCGACAGACCGCCTACGCCAAGCGCGTCGTTGAGCTAGCTGGGCTCACCGACTGCAACCCAGCTTTCACTCCGATGGAGGAGAGGCTGAAGCTGAGCCGCGACAGCACGACAGAGGAGGTGGACACTACGCAGTACCGGCGTCTTGTGGGGAGCCTTCGCTACCTCGCCCACACACGGCTAGACTTGACATACTCCGTCGGCTACGTTAGTCGGTTCATGCAGCGACCAACGACGGAGCACCAGCAGGCTGTGAAGAGGATCATCCGCTACGTTGCGGGGACTCTCGACCACGGCCTCTACTACCCTAGGTGCCCTAGGGCGGGCACACTTCGTCGGGTACAGCGACAGCGACCACGCCGACGACATCGACACCAGCAAGAGCACGAGCAGGATCCTCTTCCTCCTCGGCAAGTGCCTCGTTAGCTGGCAGTCGGTTAAGCAACAGGTGGTGGCCCTGTCCAGCTGCGAGGCCGAGTACATAGCGGCTTCCACCGCTTCGACTCAGGCGCTTTGGCTCGCTCAACTGCTTGGTGATCTCCTCGACAGAGACACTAGAGCGGTGGAGCTTAGGATGGACACTAGAGCGGTGGAGCTTGGTGATCTGGCCCTGGCAAAGAACCCCGTTTTCCATGAACGGGGTAAGCACATCCGGGTGAGGTACCACTTCATCCGAGGCTGTTTGGAGGAAGGGAGCATCAAGGCGAGCTACATCAACACCAAGGACCAGCTTGCGGACCTGCTTACCAAGCCTCTTGGGAGGATCAAGTTCCTTGAGCTCTGCTCCAGGACCGGGATGGTTCAACTTTCCCACAAGACGACGCACAAGATTTAGGGGGAGAATGATGGATAAGTCTCTGTGTTGGCTGGTCTTTGTGGGGCTGCAGCATATGGTCCTTGTGGCTGCATGGTGGTTTTGCTGTCCATCAAGGACAACATCCTTGACTGGCTAGAACGACATCTTAGCATCTAAGACAACATCTGTTTTAGGACAGCATCCTTAATTGGCTAGGACAACATTTTAGCATCTAGGACAGCATCTGTTTTAGGACAGCATCTTAGCATCTAGCATCTTAGCATATGCTTGGCGTCTTGGCATATGCTTGGCTGGCTAGCAGCCTATAAATATGTATTCCTAACCCCTCATGTTGGCATGGCATTTGTATGAGAAATAAACCAGAAAATTGCTCCAACTCCTAGTGTCATCCTCTCTCGATGAGAGTAAGAATTCTGCTACTACCAAGAGTAAGAATTCAGCGACTAACAACAGAGAGTGCACTGCTCAGGATGAGGTAGCCCACATCGCGCGAGGCGATCCGCCGTCCAGCACCGATTGTGGGCCACCAACCAAAGGAAAAAGCGGCATTTGGGCGGTGCCCAGGTTCTCCAAATCCTCTCATACGGTCCAAACTGAGTAGATCCCATGAAGAAACCCTCATAAGCAGACTTGGCTGAGTATTGCCCACTATTTGATAGCCGCCAAATGTGGACATCTTCGACATGAGGCTCTAGTTGAAAGTTGTACAGCATTTCCCAGAGATGGAGGAAGTCCACAATAACACCAACCGTGAGGGCTCCCTTGATATCCAAAACCCAGCTGCGATCAATAAGGGCTTCCTGGACAGCACGTCGTTTCAGCCTTCTCTTTGGGATGGCTTCTAGTAGTCGAGGTGCAAGATCAGCGATACACTGTCATGGATCCAACGATCTGTCCAGAACAACGTGCGATTCCCATTGCCTACTTCCGATACAACAGCCACCGAGAAGAAGGCATTAACTTGGTCCGGGATCTGAATAGGAAGGGCTGCCCAAGGGCGGTGAGGTTCAGTTTTTTTCAGCCAAACCCACCTCATCCTTAGTGCCCAGCCGAGTACTTATTACAAGTAATTTTACCGTTTAACTCCTTTAAATTTATTCCTTAGAAGCATGACATGTTCAGCATTTTCAAACAAGACCCAGATTTTTGCCAATTTTTATGTGATCCCAGCTCCTTTTGGTTCAACCATGGGATGTCTGCCCCTCATTTTTTTAAAACTTTGATTTACAAGATTGTGCTGTTGAGGCCATGGTTCAAGACTTCACCTTTTTAAAAAAAAAATGCAATCTCTCTTACATATTCTCAATTTATTTGCAGTTCAACTATGGCATATATCTAGGAACAGATCAAAAGGCCATGTCATGAAAATTTGATCTGTTTCCACTCTCCAGATCATGGAAATAAATTTAGTTTGCAAATTATATGTTACAGTAGTTTTGTAACTTTGTTTTCACAGTTTATCTGAATTTTCTTTGCTAACTGTGTTGAAGATTATTGCTGGTCTAGTGGAGTATCGACTAGGAGAGAGCCTGGTTACATACTACAACCAACCACTTATTGCTGGTTTGTTGTCATTTGTAGCTAGGACACTGAACTCATATTGGGGAACACAGGTTGGACTTTTTCCCGTTTCCTTTGTTCTCTGTTGAGTATGTTTTAGCAGTTTTTTATAGTAAACAATCATGATTTTTAAGATATGAGAAACTTGCAAAGAGTAAGGTTGTTAAATCTTCCCGCATTATGATTCATGTACTTTTGCCGGTTTGCTTATCATTTTAACTTCATGCACATAGAACAAGTAGATGATGCTCTAATTTTTTATGCAGTTCCTGTTCACCATAGGCCCATATTTCTAACACATACCACTTAAAAATTAAGATGTGATTTTAGTGGAAAAAGAAACGAAATGACAAATATTTGGAAAGGAAAACCAACTTCCTAAGCACTGGCTGGTTTGGACCTAAAGTTAGTCCTCCTGTTAGCTCAATTTTATTTGGAACATTTTCTGATATTCTATAAGGCAATTGTCATCAGCTCATTGTAATCAAATTTACACCCTTGAAGGAAATTTCAGTTCATGTGTCATCATACTTCCTTAATATGCAAAACACTTCTATGCAAAGGTTATCAAGTTGTCCAACTAATCACGATTAGTCACAACTAGTCTGGCTTATCTGTGCCATGGCGATCAGTTATGCACTACGATTATTCGTGATTAATTGGGCTGATTGGTGCCACGGTGACTAGGGTCAATCAGATGATTTGAAAACATTTTGCAATCTTAATGCTTTACACAAGTTAGTAGTGCTACCACATAGCAGTGTATTTTCTCTGCCCTCAGTCCTCACTGCCTATTCTTTTTACTGCAGCAATGGGTTGATCTTGCGCGGTACACTGAGTTACAGAAAAGTGAGGAAAAGCCTCCTTCTGCTGAGGCCACTATGCCACCTGATTCACACTTGGAGGGTTGTACGACTGAAGGACACAATTTTGATGGCAGCAGCAATAACACCAATGAATCGACTGGTCCGAGCTAGTGATTTGATTACTTCACGGTGGCTGCGGATCACATGGCCTATGTTCATAGACAGTGAAAGTGGCCACCTTCTATGAGGTTGAACCCTGCTCTTGGGATCACAAGGTGGAAATTTGAGGAAATATTAGTCACAAAATTTGTTCTTTTTCTTTTTCAGCGTTACCACCAGAGTGCACATACTGTTCTCATTTCTATTCCTAGAGTAAATATTGTTTGTACAATGTACATCTGTAAGAACTCCTGCAGCTAGCCCTAAAGGATGTGCAACAATGAGGGCTGTAACTTGTAGCACTGCATGCTCGTAATTCTGGTTTAGGTTGAATAATGGCGAAACTAGAAAGTTTGACAGTATAGTTCTCTAAAGGAAGTTTGGCAGGTCCGGCTGTTGCAAACGCCTAACGGTTCTCTCTAGAGCCAGATGTTTCTGAGAGTGAGCAAGCTATCCTCGTCATCTTCCGGAGAAATATGGTAGGTAAGATAGTTTCTTTCTCGAAGAACTTCTTTGTTTCGTACTTTATTGTGTCACTGGCCAGCTATGGGCTCTGGCATGTTCGTCCAGTGCACTCGTGCTCCGTGCATGAGAAAGAGGTGTCATCAGGCTGTGATGGCTAGCCATGTGTCCATGGATACTAATGTACGTGGCATCTATTCCTGGAGCTGTCTATATATATATATATATATATATATATATATATATATATATATATATATATATATATATATATATATATATATATATATATATATATATATATATATATATATATATATATATATATATATATATATATAGGAAGTGCACTCATCTCACTTCTGTGCAACAAGCAACTTTTTCAAGAAGATAGGAGAAGGGAATTATACTGAGGTTTAAGAATGGCGAGTGCACAAGCAATGGGGCAAGGAGAACAAGATCACTTTGTTCTGAAGAGCGGGCACACCATTCCAGCTGTTGGTCTAGGCACTTGGAGGGCCGGCTCAGATACCGCTCACTCTGTTCAGACAGCCATCACCGAGGTATAGCTGCATGCGTCTCCTATTTACCCAAACTTTATGACTAACATATTTAGGAAAAGGGTTATATTAAATAGAGCACATGATTCTAGTTGCCCGTAAGGCTGTAAACAGTGCGTAGCATAGTGTCCCATGGTCAGAACAAGCACGATTAGCTGTAAATTTGTGGAATTCTGATTTTAGTCACAAAGTTCGTGCCAATCATCGTTAAATCTTATCTGCATCTTCTGTATTTGAGTATAGAGTTTCATCCTTTAGCTGTGGGTCTGGGACTTATAAGTAAACAAAGAGTAATCCACTTCATCCAGTCCTGATTCATGCTAGACAGAGTAGTGACTCATGGGCAGCAGTGCCAAGTTACAAATCTTACCGATAGATGTGGTAAAGCATCGAACTTTGCCAGAAGTTAACAGCAGAAATTGAAAATCTTACATAGTTTCTGAAGACTGAAGGTCTTTATTTATATGGAGGTGAACAGCCTAAAAGCCTTCACTGTTGTAGACTTGTAGCACTAGCTTGTAGTTGAAGAATTTGCCATACTAGTCCGGTGTGTAACCTGAATTCCGCAGAGCCAGCAATGAAATCTGAATCTCTGATTACCTGCAGGCTGGATATAGGCATGTGGATACAGCTGCTCAATACGGAATAGAAAAAGAGGTACACATCAAAATAAAATCATAATCATGTTTCTGTATTAGCCTTCCTAGCAGGTGATAGTATGTCATAAAACATCCTCTGTCAATCAGGTCGGTAGAGGACTTAAAGCTGCAATGGAGAGTGGGATCAACAGGAAAGATTTGTTTGTAACATCGAAGTTATGGTACTTATATGCAGAATTTATATGTTGTGCTGAATACCTAAATATCAGTAAATATTACTCAATATGCGAAATTTGATCAATATTTGACTGCTTCAGGTGCACAGAGTTGGCTCCTGATAAGGTTCGGCCAGCACTTCAGAAAACACTCAAGGATTTACAGCTGGATTACCTGGATCTCTACCTTGTAAGAAACCAAAACCAATGTTTTTTTATTGTTTCCACTTTCTTACTGTTATCTGAATTTTTGTATGCTGAGGGACAGATTAATGCTTATAGCTTCCATGTTCTTCTACGGTTATTGTAGCTACAGGTTCATCTTACACTAGCCTGTTTGCCCTGTTATCTAAGCAGTGAATTGAAATTAAACCCTTTTTACACTAAAATACAATATGTTCTTTCGGATAGAACCATTATGCTTGCATTGACAAATGAACACACGCAGATCCATTGGCCCTTCAGACTAAAAGATGGGGCGCACATGCTCCCGGAAGCTGGGGAAGTGCTGGAATTCGACATGGAAGGAGCGTGGAGGGAGATGGAATGCCTTGTGAAAGATGGGCTAGTTAAGGATATAGGTGTTTGCAATTACACAGTTACCAAGCTCAACCGTCTGTTGCGGTCAGCAAATGTTCCACCAGCAGTATGCCAGGTTTTGAGCTATTCAGGATTGATCAATAGCTACAAGCCTACAACATGTCAAACAGTTGAAGTGACCAAATTGAACTCGAATTAACCGAATTATCCTTTTCTTGACACTGTTCAATACAGATGGAAATGCACCCTGGTTGGAAGAACGACAAGATTTTTGAGGCCTGCAAGAAGCATGGGATTCATGTTACTGTAAGATTTCTTCTGGAAATCAGATAGGACAAACTGATCTCACTAATATTATGTGTACCTTTGAAGTAAAATCAGTAATTCTCTATCTTAGCATATTTTGATATCAAGATAGAAGGCACTTACCTTCTTGTATACTCTTTGTTGCTTTCCAGGCTTACTCTCCACTGGGTTCTTCAGAGATGAACCTAGCACATGACCCCGTTGTCGAAAAGGTTCCTTCGCTAATCTAACGAACAACACTCGTATAGTATTTCGGTTAAACCCAAGCTCCTAAACTACATGTAGTTTCTAGGTCTCACTGGAAACGTTTAACCACAGGTAGCCAACAAACTAAACAAGACCCCAGGGCAGGTGCTCATCAAGTGGGCCCTCCAAAGGGGAACAAGCGTTATTCCCAAATCGACCAAGGACGAAAGAATCAAAGAGAACATCCAGGTGTTTGGATGGGAGATCCCTGAGGAGGACTTTAAGGTCTTGTGCAGCATCAAAGATGAGGTGAGGGCTGGCATGACTTTTGGGTTTAGCAATAACTTAGCATGACTTAGTTAAATTCTCAGTATGTCCTATAGGTTATACAGCTGAGAGAGAACGGTCACTTAACTACTACTGAAAATGTGCTTATCTGATTTGGTAGACTTCTCGGCATCAACTGAGCTTTGTTTTATGCCACTTTAGCACTAAATGAAGAGACCCCAACAGTCTCTGCAGTCTAGTGAGATAATTCCATTTTTCACTCAAAAAAGAAGTATAGTTTCCAGATCGAGGCAGAGAATCGTTTGATCCGTTTACTGCAGCAGCAAGTAGTACTCTGGTTTTTTTTAGAGAACCGATAGTGAACCGTTTTTGCCTGATATGCAGAAGCGCGTGCTGACCGGAGAGGAGCTCTTCGTGAACAAGATCCATGGGCCGTACAAGAGCGCATCTGAGGTCTGGGACTACGAGGACTGAGCTGAGCTGAGCTGAGCTGCCGTGCCGCAGGATCCCTCCACCTGATGAGCCAAAATAAAGGATGCCGATGCCGATGCCGATGCGCACAGCACAAAACAAAGCAGCACTCACCTGTCACCTCCCGTGCTTTGTGAAAGCAGCTTCGCACAAGAAAGATGCAAAAGAGGGTGTGCAAGACCCGCCTGTACTGTACCATAAACTGAATAAGAAAAATGCGAGTTTGCCGTTGTGTTTTCCTACGTGCTTCCTTTGCTTGCATTATTGCCTTGCCAACGACATGCTGATGTTGTTGGTGCGTTTGCAAGGGATGCTGCCGTTGGTGTAACGGTGTTGGTGCTGCAGGCTGCGACGGCGTGGGATGGGATGGGGATACAAAACTCATGCAAATTGCAATTTGCAAAGTGCAAACCACCGAGATTCACAATTCGACCAAGTTTTTCTTGGATCGAAATGTGCTGTCTCGCGCACCAACCACTGTTTGGACCACTGAGAAAACGTTTTATCAAACTGTATCTTGGTACTAGCACCACTGTACTGATCGACAGGAGATTCCGGCGGCATGAACTGTACCTGTACGGTACGGCTCCCGAAAGGACGGGACCGTATGCACGGCCATTTTCTACGCGTGCTCAGGCACGGTGGGGGAATTTTGTAACGACGGCGCGCACATGCAGCCTGTGCAGTTACGGTTTCGTTTCGTTGCTGGTTCGTAAGAGTATTACAGAGCTGATTAGTGGGAGAAAAAAATACTATTCTAGCTAGCTAAAAATTTACTATCGTTTATGACAAGCCACACCTAAATAAACTGGCTAATGGTGTCCCGGGTGAGGCCGGGGGGCCGGTGACACGACACGAGCCCGCAGCGCCTGACATGCCAGGATTTGTTTTCTCATTTGTTGAGAGGGGCTGACATGCCAGGCAGCCAGCCCGGCGGTCCGGTCTGGGCCGTGCTGTGTGAAGCGCGAATAGAATAATGGGAGAGCCTGGCCGGCTCAAATGCTGGCGCAGTAGATTGGATCCGGTGGGCGTATGCCGAGGAGGCCGGTGCCGCCGCGCCGCCGTGGTCGGTCTCATTCAGATGCTCCGAGCCGGCGAAGCTTCCTCGTTTTCGTCGCTCCTCCCTTGGTGCCTTGCGGTCGTGTCGTGTGTGCACGTCGAGCTGGTTGAACCGCGCGCACACCGGCTCCTGTTTGCACATGCACAGGTACCTGCCGAGTGCCGAACACAGGGCTCAACTTCACCACGCACACTACGTATGTGTTAGGCAGCTGATGGGAGTACTCCAGATCATGGATATTGTATAAAAACCTATTTCTTTATATTAATTGTGTGGCTTAATATTTCAAATTCGGGATGTATTAGTTTGGAGTAGGAAACATTCAAAAAAACTTTTGAACAAATAATCGACCTTGCATTTTCGCTGCTAGAGTTACGAGGGTGATGGTTTGGTCAGACGCACGCACCACTTCCTTCGGGGAAATGTCATGTTGCACCAGGTCGCGAGAAAACCACCGCGAGCACGCTGTGTATATTCCACCATCTTTCAGCCTAGGAGTACGTACCAGTACTGTAGCACGCATAGCTGAGCCCGTGGCCTCCTTCGGTGCAGCTCCCGCTCCCCCTACCACGCTACTGTTCACGCCCTGCGCGGGCACTGTTCATCAGGGGCGGTTTTCTCTCTCTTCGTTTCCTCTCTTACATAGTCGTTCGGAGGGGGAGTGTCGGTGTTTCGAGTTACCACCGACGAGTAAATTTCTAGTATTGTGCGTCTGGCTCGGATGGTGTGCTTAGATGACATAAGGTTTATACTGGTTCGGACAGAAAGTCCCTACGTCCAGTTCGTCGCTGCTGCTTGTGTTACTAGCACTGAAAGTTTATAGTGTGGGGTTACAAACGGGCGAGAGATGGAAATGATCACAAGTCTCTGGTGGAAGGAGTGAATGGGTGCTGAGAGCTCGATCCCTGCTCAGCCGTGTGTTCGTGTCGTGCTCTTGTGCGGATCTGGATCCGATCGGGTCTCGATGGGTCGATCGATCCATCCCCTTCATGGGACGCCCTGCTTTCACTTTTATAGGCAAAGAAAAAGCTCGAGTTACGGTGGAGGAAAATGAGAAGAATGAGAGAGAGAAGAAGACTATCAGGACCGCCGGGTCCTTCTTCTCCTTCATACGGGTCCTGCCGATCATGTAGACGTCAACAAGGATGGCTCCACGTCATGACCCTGTTCGTCACTGACACCATGCGCAGGCGTCGTCTGCCGGTCATGGCGTCCAATTCCGTCCCGGCGGGCGTCGTGGTGAACTGATGCGCCTGTCAGCGTTCGTACGAGGGTTAGACAGAACAGCACCGGCACGCCCGACGCTGTTCTTGATATGAATCCTCGGGTATGGACCGTCCTGGCCACGGGTTATATCGGGGCGTACCGGTCTCTTCCTTCGTGTCAGAGTTTTGACCTAGGCCCATACGCCTGGATCTGGAGTGGTTGGTGGCGGTATGGGACCCTGTCGGGCGAGGCGGAGCCCGCACCCGAGGGGTCGGTCGAGGCGGAGCGCAAACCCAAGGGTCGGGCGAGGCGGAGCCCGCGGCCTTGAGGTGGGGCGAGACAGAGCCCGTAGTCTTGGGGTCGGGCGAGACGGAGCCCGCGGCCTTGAGGTCAGGCGAGATGGAGCCCGCGACCTTGGGGTCAGACGAGACGGAGCCCGCGGCCTCGGGGTCGAGCTAAACGGAGCCCGTGACCTTGGGTTGGGTGAGGCGGAGCCCTCCCCCAGAGGTTAGGCGAGGCGGAGCCCGCGCACCTGGGGTCGGTTGGAGCTGTAGTCGCGTTCTTGACTGCTCAGATGAATCAATGTTGATGGCCATTAGCTCCTCCATTTCGGGTACCCTAGTATTGGTCCCCGACAAAGAGCTGCTTTTTTGGGCTCCTCCGGCCAGCCATCTTGTGCGGCGTGTTGCTTCTGATCTGAGGCGGGAGCCGGAGCAGCAGAGCCCGCCAAACAGCCACCTTAGCATTTGGACGGATTGGATTGGGCGAACGACGGAGCCACCCTAGGGGCGGGGTGGCGTGCCCGATTACCGCCGCCACGTCGCTCCAGACCCCCAAACGCCTTCTCCTTCCTTAAGTCTGGCTGCCAAGCTCCCAAGGAGAGGCAGCGCCACCGCGACCTAGTGACGAGCGAGCCATGAGCATGAGCGGGAAGATGACCGGTTCGTTGTACTAGGTAATTTGGGCCTTTTCTTTGTCACTTTAGATTAGCCCAACAACAACAAAGGCCAAGTTTTATTCCCTAACTACCCAATCCACCAACACCACGCTCAACTTCCTGCTTCCCAATCCCCAATTCCCTTTTGGCATTCCGCATCGACACGGTCACGCGGACGCCGCCACCCAGCCGCGGCTCGCTGCCACCCGCCCGCTGCCAGACGCCAGCGGCCAGTCGAGGCTCGCCGGTCGTCGCCACACCACTTGTCGGCCGCCGCCGCCCGCTGCCATGGCCCAATTTTTTTCAATTTGGCCCTTTTTTGAAGAAAATTTACATTTGGCGCCATAACACATGGCTCCGAGACGTGTTACCTCGGAGCCATGTGTTCTGGCGCCAAATGTAAATTTTCTTCAAAAAAAAGGGCCAAATTGAAAAAAAAAATTGGGCTGCCAGGCGCCAACGACCAGCCACGGCTCGCCGGTCACCGCCAGGCGCCAGCGCGGGCACGGCCCACTACCACTCCAGCAGTCCGCCCGCCACCAGGAAGGATGGAGGGAGGAGGAGGAGGAGGGAGAACAGATGAACAGATGAATTGAGATACTACCTTCAGCTGTTCGTGAGCATCTCAATTCAGTTCATTTTTTGTGAGCATCTCAATTCTCAAATTGTCTGTACTCAATCTATAGGTTTTTGACCATGATTGTGTGATTGCAATAGTGATTCTTCAAATTTGAAGTAACAAATATAAAAAGTAGTAGTGATTCTCAATTCTCAAGTTGAAAGAAGAAGAGTTATTCTATATACTACCAAATATAAAAAGCAATAGTTATTCTTCAAATTGTGTGATTGCATCATTTTGCTATGATTTGTGTGATTGTAGTATGTGAATGCGGTACGCTGTGAATACGGTGTTTTTTTTGGTTCATTTCCGTTCCACCTATATTTTTTTCCTGGCTCCGTCATTGATCGGACGGTTGATGCTGTCACCCATCGGAACCGGCAGCCGCAACGACATGCACCCTGTCTGGCATGCCGCTGAATGTACTCGAGACAGCTGGCCGACGCCAACGCGGGCGTGTGAAGTGATGTGATCCTTCCGCGGGGCGCAAAGCTACCTTTCCCACCCGGCGACCAAGGCCGCTGCGCCCAAAAGCGCCGAACGCCACAGCTCCCCGCAGATCCCCCTTGCCGCGCCAGCGCCACCCCGAAGCAGTCGCCGTCGGCCCGTCAGCCGAGCAGCCCCAGCCTGCACCACTGCGCGCAGCCGGCGTACCAGTACGTGCAGCGTGACCTGCGCGGCTGCTAGGAGCGGCCGGAAGCGCGATTGCCTGCGCATGACTGCATCTCCATGAGCGCGCATCGATTCGGGCAGCCGTCGCGTCGGGTTTTGAGGAGTGAGCACAGCTTGGCCTCGGGAGCTGACTGGCTGTGCCCTACTATGCCCTGTGGGCGGCTGCCGCCGCCCGTGGCCCGCCGAGGGCCGGAGACGCCGGATCCGGACGTGCCCAATTTGGCGCCCGGCACTTGGCAGTGGCAGCCTTTTGGGTGTTGCGGTCGCCCCGCAGGCAGGCAGTTTCCTGGCTCAACTTTTTTGACGGGTCCCCGATCCAGGGAGCTGCCTTTTCAGTCCGGTCCGCTCTCCGCTGCCGTCTGGGGAGTGACACGACACGACACGACACGACACGACACGCATGATGGCGCGAGGACAAGGAACAATCCGGGTTTGCTGCTACTGCCGCCACTACGGCACTACCAGCAAGGCCGTTTTGCAAACCTTGCCTTGAACGGCTTTGGTATTCATTGGCTAGCTAGCGCACGTTTTGGCAGCAATTCATTCATTCGTGTGTCTGATTTCCAAAACCTGTCAAAAGTGTCGAATGTTGATTAGAGAAATTCAAATTCGTATCCTCCTTTGTCCCGGGTAAGTTGTTAGGAATGTTCTCCGTGATAGCCGCAGCGTGACCAGATATTGTGCTCGCGGTTTAGAGACGGTTTGTTTTCTCTCCTAATTTTTAGTCCCTATTACATTGGATGTTTGACACTAATTTAAAAATATTAAATATAGACTAATTACGAAACTAAATACACAGATTAAGACTAATTTACGAGACAAATCTATTAAGCCTAATTAGTCTATGATATGACAATGTGGTGGTATAGTAAATATGCGCTAATGATATATTAATTAGGCTTAATAAATTCGTCTCATGGATTACTGACGACTTCTATAATTTATTTTATTATTACTATCCGAACCTCAATGTGATATCTCATGTGACACCTCTTAAACTTTAGCCCCTGGATCCAAACACCCCCTTAATCCCTGATGATGATTGGAGGTGACAAGCTTCCCTGCAGCTTCCTGCCTGAGTTGGGAGGGAGATGAGGGCCATGACCAGCCTATTAACCCCAGGGAATTCGCATTATTGACCCACTAATCTAACACCTGCGGTCTTGGTGTTTGAATCTCTGGGGAGAGGTTCCTTGGAGGAAAAAAAAGGCATCATTATCAGCGACAGCCAGTGAGGAACTTTAGAGCAATACGAGTCACAACCAGCAAGTCCATGCATGTTTTTTTTGTGTCATTTGTGTTGGGTATATGGTTGACGACAAACTGGCCGGGTTCCAGTGCTGCAATAATGCTAAACAAATCACCAAAGTGCACGGCTAATCTCAACTTTTTCTCATTGAGTCGAGCACTCGAGTTCATTGCATAAAAGGCATTCCTCTATCTAATATTAAAGGAATAAAAGTTTCTTGGTCCATCATCAACTCATAAGTTAGAGTAGCGTGTTTCAAATATGGGTGTAGTCCGATTCTAAGAATTGCAATATGAAGTGTCCTGCCATTTTCTCCCACGCTCGTATGAGTTAAGACCACAAATGTTCTGGTACGGTGTGGAGTCTGACCACAAAACAAACTGGAACACTTCATGTGTCATTGATAAATCTCTAAGGACGTGATTGGTTCCCATCCCAGCAAGACTGACCTATAGTAGCGGTGCATGTTGTCTTTTGCCAGGCTTTTCAGCCGCAACTACATGTTGTTTGGTTTCCGTTTGTATGAAGCTTGGCCTCGGAAATAACTCTTGTTTGGTTGCATGTGTCGTGCAACTTTCACGTTTTCAAACACTTGTTCGCGTGTTTGCCCACGGACCAAGCTTCTCGTAGGAACGAGAAATTTTTTGTATCCCATGAGCTTGGCTCGGAGGAAGGTTTTGCATCGCTCGGGCACAGGCTGAACCAGTATTCCAGGCAACCAATTCAGTTGTGAGCCGCATCTAGACGCCTTGGATGGGTAAAATCCAGGAAACTAATAACTAAGCCTCTTGTACCCATACGAGTTACAGAGTTAGAGCATCATGTGTTCAGGTATAGTATGGAGTTTGATTGTAAGACGAATTAAAACACATGACGTGATGATTAAATGAATCTCCGAGCCGCCAGTTATCCAAGTAACCATATAATAGTTGTACGTTCTATTACAACACATCGACATATTTGCTAGTTTATATAAAAGACGTACTATGCCAAAATAAATAATTGTATCACCAATTTTTTTGATAAATTTACAAAAGAACAAGACGGTCATGAATGCATTGAAACAAAATTATGCTCATCATTAAATCAACTGGCTCAACATAACAAGAAAACAAAACTTTTACTAGGACTTTAAATTTTCAAGTGTCTATACTGCTGTCAGCCATTGGCCTGCTGTAAACCGTGCGCCATAATGTAACGGCTCGTTCACAAGAAAAGGAAATGTGTACCCATTGCATTACTCACTTGAGCATCCATGCACCACATGATGGATAGGCCGCCCGGCAAAACAGCTCTATATAAACCCCGTAACCTTTCTCCGTGCCATCACCTCATCATAACTCCCTCCCCGGAAGGAACCTTTGCTAGCCAAGGCCAAAGAGAAAGCCAGAGCTAGCCGGCGACCGGCATCTCGTCCGATCCGATCCCCTTGTCGGCACGACACGAGTCCACGACGCACCAAACAGCAGCCGGCGCCGGGAAGGAGAAGGAAGTTAGTATGGGGAACAGCCTCCGGTGCTGCCTGGCGTGCATGCTCCCCTGCGGCGCGCTGGACGTGGTCCGCGTGGTGCACCTCAGCGGGCACGTCGACGAGTTCAGCTGCCCGCTCGCCGCGGCCGACGTCCTCGCCGCGCACCCGAACCACGCGCTCACCGACGCGTGGTCCGCCGGCGCGTCCCGGAAGATCGTCATCCTGTCGCCCGACTCCGAGCTCAAGCGCGGGCGCATCTACTTCCTCATCCCCTCCGCCGCGTGCTCCGCGCCCGCCGCCGCCGAGATGAAGAAGAAGCGCAGCAAGAGCCGCGCCAGCAACAACAGGAAGAAGGCGCACGGCCACCGGAAGTGCGGCGGTGCCTCTGTGGCGGCGTCGCTGAGCACGGCGGAGCAGGACAACTACCTGCGGGAACTCCTGTCGGAGAAGCGGGAGGTGAGCCTGAGCCACCACCGGCGGCGGCGGAGCGGCGCCCGCCCCGGCGTGTGGCGGCCGCGGCTGGAGAGCATAGCGGAGGAGCCGTCGTCAGAGTAGCTCTGATCCACGAGTTCTCGCCATTTCTTTGTCCTTTCTCGATCTTCCCATGTGAATACCAAGAATCAGCGGCCGGTGAGGAAGCGTTTTGGGTTCTCTGTTCTCTCTCGCGGCGCGTTCGATCGATGGTCTCCCTGTATGTGTGTGTAAGCATCTTCAGGGCAGGGCTGCTTCAGCGCTCTTTGCCTCGGAAGTCGAGTGGAAAATGGAGGGAGAACAAAACACAGAGCGATTGTAAGATCCAAGCCAATCTGTACAAACAGAATTAGTTTGAGTTCATCTGGCTTTTGTTTATCTGCAAGTTGCTTGGCATTGTTGGGTTGTTGTGCGCTTCTGCTCTGAATTCTTGTTTTTTCGCTGGGATTGTGGGAGGCCAGGAGTGCCGCAGTACTACTCGCCGCCGTGACGCCGTGGATGGTGACTTCCGGTCAAACCTAAGGCCCCCATGCCATGCTGTCCTGATGCACTGGCGAAAGCCTCATCAAACCGTGCATCTGCTTCTGGCCTTCTGCACTGCACTGTTACCGGCGGCGACGTGTCAGACGGCAGCACCGCAGCAGCGATGGATCCGAAATCTGCGACCGGTTTGTCCAGCAGCTGCCCGACCAGCTTTATGCCTGGCCAGCTGTGAAGGGAGTGTTTGTTTTCGCTTTTAAAATTAATAAAAACTATTAAATATAGATTAATTATAAAACTAATTGAAGGCTAATTTTTGAGACGATTTTTTTTAAGCCTAACTAATCTGTCATTAGCACATGTTTACTGTAGCATCATGTTGTCAAATCATGGACTAATTAGATTTAAAAGATTCGTCTCGTAAATTAGTCGCAAGTTGTGTAATTAATTTTATAATTAATCTATATTTAATACTCCATGCATGTGTAACATTCGATATGAGTGGAGGAACAAACAGCCCCGAAGAATCACTCGCCTTCAGTATTTCTTCTGACTTCATGAGCACGTGTTAACCCAGGATGGTCACAAGTAAATTTTGACTCTCTTGTAGAACGAAGATGCATGAACTGAACACTTTATCTGTTTACGATCTGAGCACTTACAACAATTTTCTTTTGAAAAAAAAAACAATTGTAGCCAAACTGTTATGTCATGGCCTTGCTTTTAGAGGCAAGCGTCCTCACGAGATGCGTTAAACCATATTCAGAAGAGAAATGCTAATAGTCAACCGGTTGATTTATCACTCAACCTTTTTTTTTACCATCGGATGGTCTGATCCGGCTTGCCCTCGTGTCCGTAGTTGAGTTGCTGCCCTCCTGTTCGTAGTTGAGTTGCTACTGGTGCATAGGTGGCTTTCGATCCCGGTTGAAAACCGGCTTTGGTACATGAACTAATCAGGACTACGGATCTGGGACTAAAGACCGTGACTTTTAATCTCGGATCACGAACCTAGACTAAAGCCTATATCTAGAACTAAAAAAATAGTTTAAATTTTAGAAGACCTCTTTTGTGGCGAGTGAGGTTCAAACCCAAGACCTCTTTCCTTGCACGTGGTCCCTTACCAACTCAACTGCACACCAATAGAGTCCTAGGCACTCTCCTTTTAAATTAACCCGTGGGAGACCTTTAGCCCCGGATGGAAGACCTTTAGTCAGGGTTGGTGACATCAACCAGGACTAAAAGGTGTTACCAACCAGGACTAAAGGTTTGATGACCTTTAGTCCGAGTTGGTAACACCAACCGGCACTAAAAGCCACCCTTTAATCCCAGCTGATGTTACCAACTGGGATAAAAGAGTCTTCGGTGTCTATAAAATTTAGATCCAGAAATAATGCTTATATTAATATCAAACCTCAACACAATCGAGACTCAAGTTGAGAACCGAAAGTCGTTTATCTAGTCCTCAACAGTTGGCGATTTTGCAAGGTAGATGTCAACGTGGAGGTGAGAGAACGCAGAAAACCAACTCACTAGTGAGCTAGGAAGCGCAAGGCTCGCACACGTCTCGAGGTCTGTCATCGGGCTAGCTCTCTCTTGGTATGTTCGTTTGAACTTATCAGCCGGCTTATCAGCTAGAATCTATAGTATTTTTTTCTCACAATAAATCAGTCAAGGCCGGCTTATCAGCCAGCTTTAATACTAGCCGAACATGCACATATTTTCATATAGTCTATTAACCGTGCTTTCTTTCTTTTTTTATTCTTCTCTCGTCCACATATGCTGGCGACTTGACAACACCGTTGCGGACGCCCTTAAACATCCCGATGGCTCATCTGTGTGTTCGCTTGCTGCCCTTGTGGCGGCGCTGCTTGAAAGGATCATGATGTCCAAGTTAGGGGGTGAATTGGGCTAATTCTAAATTTCTTTGCAATAATTAAACTCTACGGTTAGCCCAATTAACCCCTTGTGCCTAGAAAGTGTTTCTATTGATCTAACGCATAAAAGTTTAGCACCATAAGTTCCAATCCTACTCTAGCATGGCAATTCTAGGAATGTAAATAATAAGAATTGAATTGCTCAAAGTAAATGCTCAAAGTAAAGAGAGAAGGAGGAACGCAGTGATGTTTTGCCGAGGTATCGGAGAGTCGCCACTCCCCACTAGTCCTCGTTGGAGCACCCGCGCAGGGGTATAGCTCCCCTTGATCCGCGCACGGATCAAGTGCTCTCTACGGGTTAATTATTTGACTCTCCGTCGCGGTTAATCATCCGCAACCGCTCACAACTTGAGTTGGGTCATCCACAAGCTCTCCGAATGATCACCAAGCTCCCAATCACCACCAAACCGTCTAGGTGATGGCGATCACCAAGAGTAACAAGAACAGACTCTCACTTGACCACGACAAGACTAATGAGAAGGGTGGATGCACACTTTGCTACTCTTGATCTCACTAATGAGGGCTCTCTTTGGGATTCTCAAATCTCAATCACCTCACTAGGACCTTGCTCTTCTTGGCACTCTCAAAGGTGTTTCTCAGCTGTTGGAATAAGCAAAAGTACCCCCACACACGAATGGAGGTGGTATTTATAACACCGGCTGAAAAACGAACTGTTATGTGCCTCTGCGGGGTGACCGGACGCTCCGATCATGTTGACCGGACGCTCTGGTCAGTTCACCCCGAACTCTAGTGTTTAAAGTGTGATCGGACACTGGACAGTGTCCGGTCGTAATTTTTCCTCTCTGGAACCTTACTGGAGTCGACCGGACGCTGGCCCTCAGCGTCCGGTCACTTCACCTCTTAGCGTCCGGTTGTACCAGACGAAATCACCTTGGTCAAATGAACTGACCGAACTCTGCGCCAGCGTCCGATCACACCGGAACCAGCGTCCGGTCAGTATTTGACCCTCCATTCACTTTCAACTCTCGATCATATGTGAATGAAGTTTGCTCCATTGGATCTAAGAGCTATTTTGGAGCTACCTAGTGCTAGTTTTAGCAAGTGTGCACCACACCTAACCTACTAGACTCACATAGGTCAAGCTACCCGTCCATACCCCCCTTAATAGTATGGCCAAAGGAAAAACAAAGTCCTAAACTACTCTAAGTGACTCTTCAACACCAAACAACACTTAGAACTAGTCCATCCTTAACCTTGTCGTCCATCCTTTGAAAATCGAAATGATTTCCATAGTAGGGGCATAACCACCATGATTGCCTAATCAATCTCCATTACCATGACCTAACTTAATTGTCTCTGCAAAACACAGGTTAGTCATAGTAATCACGTATTGTCATTAATCACCGAAACCCAACTAGGGACCTAGATGCTTTCAATCTCCCTCTTTTTGGTGATTGATTACAATACCACCTCGAGTATGTGAAAGAGATGAGGTTTTTAACATGCTTGGTTCATATAAGCTTTTGGCAATAAGAACAAAAGTGTTAGGCAAGCTTATATAACCCAAGCCAACATGATGTACTCAAAAGATATGAAATAAGCATGAGTAGAAGTAATAAAGCTCATTTGCATCGGAGTAAAACGCGGAAGCAAAATCAAATGAGCATAGCACAAGTGATATGACATATAAATAATTCAAAGTAGAGAGCACACATGTCATATATCATGATCATGTAGATATCACTATCACATAAATATAGTTTAATGCATAAAAGTAAACACACGACGAATGCATAATAGTGTATCACACATAAAACTCCAAATATAATAGATAAGCTAATAGATAAACTAAGCTCCCCCTAGATATGTCACTCCCCCTAAGTCTAACATACTCGATCCCTCTCCCCCTTTGGCGTCAAACACCAAAACCTAAGGGTCGGTCGACGGGGCTGCAGCGGACGAGCCGGGCGTTGATGTACGAGGAGCGAGCTGGAACTGAGTGCCATCATCATCTGACCTTGAGCTCTGAGCAGTCTAACCCTCTATAGCTAGAAGCGATGCTGAAGCAGTCTGGGTCGGATCAGGGACTGGAGCTGCTGTAGACTGTGCTGGTATGACTGATGCAGGCGGCTCTGATGATGCCATTGAGGAAGGGAGCATCTCTGTAGTCCAGATAATAGGTGCAACTGTAGAAGAACCTGGGACATGGAGATATGGAGGAGTAGGCTGCCCTGTCAACTCACTAAAGGATGCTCCAAGGCTCCTGGATACTATAGTCTCTGGCACTAGCAGCGAGGAAGTCTGAGCCGGTGTGAAGCCCGTCTGAAGAGGTGTGAACTACGGGGCTAGCACTGGCGAAGCAAACCACTAGGACACCTGCTCTGTAGGTGAAGCAAACTGTGCTGGTGGTTGTCCCTAACTCTGAAGCCCACCAGGCTGTAACGTTGGAGTCATAGAAGTGGTGGCAGTCTAACCAAGCTAGGGCGAAGGCTATGGCGGTGGAGTCCCAATAGCTATCACAACATGCTACATAAACCCAAGTAGCTGCTGCTGCATGAGGAGCTGCTGCTGGTGCATGGCCTATTGTAGCACCTGCGTTTGCTGCTGCATAGCCAACTGCTATCGCTAGAACTCGTCCTGCCGAGTCTGGAACTGTGCAAAAGTGGCAGCGGTCTCCTGAGCCTGGCGAACCTAATCCTGCCTCATCCG